AAGTTGTTCAAGACGATTGTAACACCCACAACCCGTATCCGACCCGGATACGAGTCTGAAGTTTCACATTGACTTTTCAAACATTTATTCGTATAAAATATTGAGTAATTTAAAAACTTTTATAACATTCAACTTATTCAAAATGTTTACAAAACTATTCAGAGTTTATACAATATATTCTTTTGAATACATGCCAACTAGAACTTTATATATTAAAGTACATATTAATCACCTCTTTTCTGATCTGACATTGAGTAAGGAGAACTAACCTGTCTTACTCCACATCGCTCTTTACTCCTCTCCATACCTACGTGTAAATCACTTACAAGCTAAGTCGTTGACTTAGTGAGGCATATAAAACATATAATAAAACCACAAACCATTTCATATAACATAATGCATACTTATACATATATCATTAATATACTTATCAGTACTCATATCATTATTACTAATTTCTTTCTATCATGTAAGCATATATTGAACCTTTCTATACTCACCATCGAGTATCCATGTCATTTCACAACAAAGCATATATATAGTATCATAACAAGTTATTTATTATCTTTAAAGCCCTTGCATTAGCCCATGTATACATTTGAGAACTTAAGGTATGTGAGTACATTGAGGTTGTGCACTAATGCTGTCACCACAGCTCGTATCAATTCCCTCATGGGGCACCGAACCTTAGTTCAGTATTCGTCCCGAAGAACCAGTCCATAGATCCCGAAGAACCTAGGTAAACAGTCCATATGTCCCGAAGAACATAGGTAAACAGTCCATATGTCCCGAAGAACATAGGTAAACAGTCCATATGTCCCGAAGAACATAGGTAAACCCTCGACCCTTGGCATGCCAACTATACTACTAGCTCTCTTATCACATAACATGGGCATTAACATTCATAACAGTTCAATTTACTTATTCATATCCTTTCTCTTATGAACATATATCTTTTCTTTTCAGTCACGTACCAAATGTACGTGTAATCATTGATCTTATAATCACATGTTCATTCTCTTCGGTCACATACCATATGTATGTGTAAACATATATCTAATATCATATAACACGCATCACAAATGCATGTATTCACATAAATCATTTCTTATAGCTTTATTCATATCACATATTCATATAAGCTCATATCTTATTTCACATATACTTTCCATATAACTTATATATCTCATAATTACACAAATCATAACATTGATCACCAATCAAATAACATTTTAGGAGTTACTTCTTACCATAGTAACTCCATCACTGGCTCATCGCAAGCCAAATGTTTATTCAATAATATAAGTACAAATTAAATTGCACTTACCTTAGCTTTGCTTTGATTCGATTATAATCCTTCAATTGATCCGGAACGGGATCACGTTCTATATCTACATCATCATATATAGATCTATATTAGTATTATAACTAATATACTCTAATGGTTCACTCTTTAGACTAAGAGAAAAGTCAATTTCATCTTTTAATGAAGGTATGCATCGATGCACTACTGATGTATCGGTGCATAAAATGCATTCGATGTTGTATTATTACTAGGATGCATCGATGCACTACTTATGCATCGATGCACGAATTACATTCGATGTATTTATTTTAAAAGAGTGCATCGATGCACTTCCTGTGCATCGATACACCTTCAAACGATTTCTGGGTTTTAACCTTGATGCATCGATGCACTATGAATGTGCATCGATGCACTCTGCCCAGAACCTCTTTTTGAACCCGAAAATTCATTCATTTTGGATTAAATCATTCATGTTTCATCCCCTTTTTCCTTCTTAACTCTAGTGTGCATACTTAAACCAATATATACTCATTTATTTCATCTTAAACCTTAATATTCTCTCATCTTTATTAACTTCAAGAATCATACCAGATTATTAACATGTTTTAAATTTAATTCTAACACTCCATATTCCTTAATTATATTGATGACAAGTCAAATTCCTTCTCAAAATTCACTTACTAACTCTTTTCCAGAATTTCCTTTAAAAACTCATTTTCTTTAATCTTTCATAACTTCTTTATCTTTTGATTTTAGAACAACTTAAGCTTTCCATAAGCTTAAGTATTACCTAATGATCAAAACCCACTCTTAAAATTAACAAATAATCAGCTAACAAGGAATCTTACCTTTGCAAGCTTGGCTCTTCTCTCTCTCGTACATGAAGAAGAAGAAGAAGAAGATGATGAAGAAGATGAAGAGAATATCTCTTCATCCTTATCCCCTCTAACATATATATCCTTATCATATCTATTTTTAATTCATTTATTAGTCAAATGACCATTTTGCCCTCTACTTCATTTGATAATTACTAACAACTTTTAGGATTTATTTCCAGATAAATCATTAAACTAATCCATTCTTCTACTTTAATCACCAAATTTCTAAAACTTTAGCATTTAGTCACTAACTCATAGTTTGGAATGTTACAACGATTGATAACTTTCTGAGGGAGGATAAATTGCCTATTCCAGAAATTAACAACACTGTATAGAACAGTTTTAATTAACTCTAGACGCCCAGCATAACTTAAAAGTTTACCTGACCAATGGTGAAGTCTACGTTTAATATTATCGTAGAGAGGAAGACAATCTTTTTCAGTAAGCTTCCGAGTAACAAGAGGAACTCTGAGGTACCTAACAGGCAAAAAACCTTGTTTGAAGCTAGTGGCAGATTTAATGGAGTCCAGAGTTCTAGCAGGAATTCCAGCCGCATAAAATTCTGTTTTGTTAACATTGAGGTTCAAACCAGATAAAACATAGAAATGATTTAGGTTGTTACTCCAACAATTGATTCAAGATTTCCTTTGCAAAATATCAAGAGGTCATCAGCAAAAGATAAGTGAGTAATACCAAGCTTTTTGCATTTAGGGTGATATCCAAAAATACCTCTGGCTGCTGCAAGGTTGAGAATTTTTGGGAGGATATTCATAGTTATCACAAAAAGGATAGGAGATAAGGGGTCTCCTTGTCTAATACCTCTTCACCCTTGAAGTACCCTATTAGACTACCGTTAAAAGATATGGAATATCGTGCTTCTTTGAAGCAAGTTTCAATCCATTTTGTGAAAATGGAAGGTAGTCCTATGGCTTTAAGAATGAAGGAGATGAAATCCTAATTAAGGGAATCAAAGGCTTTTTGAAGGTCAATTTTGAGGGTACATCTAGTAGAAATATTTTTTCTACCATAGCCTTTAACAAGTTCTTGAGCAAGGAGGGTGTTGTCAATAATTGATCTACCTCTAACAAAAGCAGTTTTATTGAGGGATATAAGGTCAGGCAGAAGCAAAGTTATTCTATTGACAAGGATTTTAGTTATAGTTTTGTAAACTACAGAGCAACAAGATATAGGTCTATAATCCTTAACTTTTTTAGGATTATGGCTTTTAGGGATCAAGGCAATAATGATGGAATTGAAAGCATGAAGGATATTTGACTCTTGAAAGAAGTATTTGACAACATCAACAAAATCTTCCCCTATGACAAACCAGGAATGTTTAAAAAAACGGAGTGAAACCATCAGGGCCTGGAGCTTTGTCATTCCCCAGATTAAATAAAGTCTCTTTGATCTCTTCAGTAGTTACAGTTTTTATCAGACCAGTAGTAACCTCAGTAGAAAGATGAAATTGAAGCAGGTTTCTCAATAAAGAAGGGTCGGGATGATGAACTTTAGGATCAATGGCACCTAGTTGATGTTTGAAGAAATCAGTTATTTCATTAGCCATATCGTCATAAGTCTCGAGTCTTTTTCCCTCATTATTAATAAGAATCCTAATGGTGACTCTTTTATTTTTAGAGGCAATAGCAGAATGAAAAAGTTTAGTGCATTTGTCACCTTCTTTGATCCATTGAACTTTTATTTTTTGTTTAAGGAACATATACCTAGTTTCCTCTAAATCATTCAGCTCCTATTGAACACTCAATTCTTTATCGAAAGAATTGTTACCATTAAGATTTGAAATTTGAAATTGTTCCAGATGTCTCTTTTTAAGCTTTACCCTAGCAGAGATATCACTATAGTTATCCTTGTTTAGCTTCTGCAAGCAAGGTTTTAGGCGTTTAAGCTTAAGAAACAATTTCTGCATAGGGTTACCTTGAGAAGGTTGTTGCCAGGAATGAAGGACATGTTCAAGGAAATTAGGGTGCTTAGACCAAAATTTGAAAATTTTAAAAGGTTTAGGCCTATTGATTTGATTATATTTATTGATCCAAGCAAGAGCCATACAGTGATCTGATGGGCCAAGAGCAGTAAATTCTACAAAAGAATTCTGAAAAGAAGTAGTCCAGTGGGAGTTAATCAGCACTCTATCAAGTTTTCTAGCGAGATACGTATCATTTTGTTTATTGCTCCAAGTATAGGTAGGACCGAAGAATGGGTGATCATTTAGTGAAAGCTCTTGAATCAACTCTTGAAAGTCAATCATTTCAGAGGAAGAGTATGGTCCTAGAATTAGAGAATCAAAACTTTCCTTGTGATAAAGATAGGTATTAAAGTCACCTCACAGAATCCAAGGGAGAGACCCAAACCTAGTGTCAAGGTTTCTTAGATGCTGCCAAAGAAATTTTTAGAATATCCACTGTTTGTAGATAGCAGTGATTATGAAATGAGTGTTATTAAAGAGACATCTGGCAGTAATACTTTGATTAGTAGAATGACAGAGGGAGATATCGATTCCTTTTTTCCAGAGGAGCCATATTCTACCATTAATAGCATAATCATAGTTAGTAAGGGAATTCTAGCTCTCTAAGATAGTATTGAAGATTTTCTCGGAATTGTCAGGTTTAACACGAGTTTCCAACAAACAAAGAACGTCAACTTTGAAGAGATTAGCTATGTTCAGGGCTTTTTTATGTTTTTGAGGATTATTGAATCCTCTGATATTCCAAAAACAAATTAACATTGGGAAATTGTGGAGGATGAACCCTTTGAATTTCCTTCTGAGGTATTTTTGACTTTTAGGATTTGTTCTTTTTTTTTTACTTTAGGTCATTGATTAGTTTAGCAACTCCAGCGGCAGCTGGTCTTGTTTTCTTTACTGGCAGCTCGTTTAGTGAAGAATTTTCTTCAACTGTTGTGAGAATTTCGAATCTATTTGATGAGCCTCTTAAAGCATATTTAGCTTTAATCTTTAGAGGCCTACCTCTACCTCTTTTAGGATTAGTAGGAGTTTCATTAGGAATGGGAGCAGATTCATGAGCATGTGTTGTGTTATCATTAACTAAATCTTCACCGTGAGGAATGGATTGGGATAAGGAATTGCTTGCCTCATTTGAAATATTAAGATGAGATTTTGAGGATTTGACATTAACATGTTGATCCTTTTGAGTAGTAGATGATTCTGGTTCTGTTATGGGATCATTTTCATTAGAAATAGCATTTTCCTTTGAAGGAGAAGATTCAGGCAGAGAGTGCTTCAAGGGTTCTAATATTCCTGTTTTTAGATCTGCATTATCATTGAGAGGTGTCTTTTTTCTCCATATTTTAAGTTGTGAAGGAGCAGAATTTGTTTTGTTTAGACATTCTTTGTCAGAATGTCCGAATGAACTACATTTCTTGCATCGATAAGGGAACCAAGGAACTTCTACACATATTGTGGAAGTTTGACCATTAGCAAGGATAACATCAACAGTTTCAGGTAAGTCTTCTTTAGCTCTTATTTCGATACAAACCTTAGCATATTCTAGCCTAGTTTTTGAAGCAGTAATTGAGTCCATTGTTAATGGAACTCCAAGAGCGATGGCTATATAACTAAGGACTTCTCTTGAATATAGTTCTAAGGGAACGTTATACAAGTGAACCCATAAAGGCAATCTTGAAAGATCAAAGTTCAGTCTCTGCATATTGGGTTCCCACTTACGAAGAATTAAAGGTTTGTTGAGTATGTGCCACAGGCCATTCTCAAGAACCCAATCCCTAGCAACATCAGAATTAAAGGTGAAAATGTAGAGATTTTTACCTGCGAGACTTACCTGCGCACTATAACTTGTCGAAGGTTGGGTCCATAGTTTGCCGATTGTTCGTTGAAAGGAGATGAAGTTCGGAGCAGCCCCTAAGAACTGACCCACCAGAGAGTTTTTCCACTCAGCAGTACCAGCCTCAAGGACCTCAAGGGAGGTTGAACGATTAGGGATTTGTCGCTCAATTTTGGGGGAAAATAGTTGAGTTCGTGACCAGCTTGACACCCAAATAATTTACGCCAGTCCATTGCTCGATGCTTGAAGGAAGAAGATGATGGGCTGTTGAATCACACTGAAAATCAGACTGAAACGCCGGTGATGGAACGAAATTTTTTGGGTCCGATAGACCTGCTATCGTGCGTCAGAGAGAAAAGTTTCGTGCGCCCCAACTATTAAACCATGAAAAGAAGAATCATTTGATTATTATAAGTGAATATACATTGACTTCATAATCTTAAAATTAACTTTTGACTTTTCAATTAGATTTGGTTAGTTACAAGGCAGTCCTCTTGAAAATTTAGAATTATCATATATTTTATATTTTTCTACGTATTTTCTATTTAAAATCTATTTTCGTCTCCCTTAGAATTTTATAAATTCAAGTTAACCACTCTAAAATTATATAAGTTCAAGTCCGTCCTCAAACATAAAACCATTAGTTCATCTTTGGACTTAGATGTGTAGGTATTTTATAAAAATCAAAAGCAAGGGTCAATGTGAAGATATGGGTAGCAAGATTTGGATTTCTTAGCTCATATCCTTCTTTGGCAAGTCTGTTAGTTAAGGAAAGTAATATTAAAATGATAGTAAAAATGTATGAACCAACGATTTTCTTGTATATCAAGCTAAGATATTTACCTTAACCACCATTGACTGCAATGGTTGAACGACAAGAAGAAAAAAACAATCAACAAGAAAGAAAAGTTTATAACATAAAAATAATAATGTTTGAAGTTTGAAGAATGTGAGGAACAAGGCAGAAATTCAGCAGGAATTTGCTCGTTGGCGTAAACTTTGTTAACGTCTGTATTGCATGCATCGAATGTAGCACATAATAGGGGGGGGGGGAAGTAGATGTAATCAAGAACTAAACCCAATTAAAAGAAATAATGCTAATTAATAAATTTTTCTTTTGTTTTGACAAATAAAAGAGCTTTTTGTGGTTGGACCAGCCCCATTTTTTTCTCGAGAAAATTTTGACCCTAACTTTTAAGAATATATTATGAAGAACCGTAGTTCTAAAGCCAAAATATAACAGAAATCTTTAAAAAAAAAACTGAACTTACCGATAACCAGTTGATCTAGTGATATGAGATACTACATTTATTAAGCACAAGGTTAAGGGTTCAAACATTGACATTTGCGAATGGAGCAAACCGGATTGAGAGGCTCACCCTCATCTTTGCAGTATTTGATTTGAATTAGTTGACCATTAAATCGGATATACGTAATTAATTCAAAAAAAGGAATTCAACTTAAATATATATGCTTTATTAAACGAACCATTAAATTAAGTGGCATTCACCTAAAACATCTACCTACGTGAATAAAATTTTGACTTTATAAATAATTTCTCATATAATTTTGAAATCATTTAATATAACTAAAAGTTTATACAATTTTGTGTGGAAGTTATGTAACTTTATGAAATTAAGTGGTATCCACCTTAAACATATAAATGGAACAAAAATGATAAATTAAGTTTACTATAAGAATAAAGTGACTCTTACGCCTTCTAAATACCATACGTTATTAAAATTATTATAAATTTCACAGTTTCTTATATGATTTTGAAACCCTTAAATATTTTAACTCTGCAGTAGCTTAGGTAAACCATTATATATAATTCAGACATATTTTCATATAAAATATTGGAAATAGAGAAAAGGTTAACATAACAGAAATTTTGCTTTTAGTCATTGGCATCCGGGGTGAAATTCTATTAAAAAATTTTAGGAGTACGAAATTAGATAATCAATAAAAAAATACAAAAAAATATAAAATATAAAAGAAACTAAACATTGTAGGGAATGCGACCGCACTCCTAGCACCCCTCGATCCATCCTTGACAAGCACATTCAACTTGAAAGGTTGCTCTGTCCAATGGCGTAGCAAGTTAACATCATTATATGCCATAATATGATCTGAAACATACTAAAAAGGATCATCAAATCTAGTTTCCCTTTAACCAAAATAACTTGTTTTAGAGTAAACTTAAGTTCCTTATTTTTAATCTTGCATCTAATGTTAAAATCAATTATAAAATACTTTTGGTTCAAAAACTGCAGCGGGATGGATTTGGAATGTTCCATTAAGAAGAGAGCTATTCGATCGAGAACGACAGTCCTGGAGTGAGTTTATGTTTAAGCTCAATAATGTCAAATCGAATGGATTACAACATGATTGGGTTCGTTGGTTGGGCTCTTGTGATGGTTCCTTCTCGGTTAAATTTGGTGAATGTATGATATCATGGGATATCATTGTAAATGATCCTTTGTTGGCAAAAAATTCGTGTCTTGTTCCGAAGTCGAATTTAGCCCCTGTCAAATGGTCTCCCCCAGCTCCTTGTGGTTTTGTCAAGCGTAATACGAATGGGGCGGTTTCTTCATGCGGTTCCAAGTGTGGTGTGGGAGGAGTTTTGAGGGATTCAGATGGTGTTATGTTATGGCAGTTGCGGATACTTGTGATGTATGACCTCCTACAATGGCTGAGTTGTATGCTGTCAAGAAAGGTTTGGAGGTTTTCCTAAAATCTGCTAATTGTTGGAATCATAGGCTCATCAAAGTATAATATTCACAACACTATATAATATATAAAATTATATACATAGTATAATATTTTTTAAACCTATATAATATAACTATATATAGTATAATATATTTTAAGACTATATATTATTATTATTTACAAAACTATATAATAGTTAAAATAAAAAATGCATATTATACTTTTACTTTATTGTAATATATGTAAATATTTGCACTAGTCCAATGATAAATCAAGGTGACCCGGACGAAAACGAATGACTACAACAGTCAATTATAAACTTGAACCCAATTCAAAATTGAAGTAGTCTTAAATTTTAGCCGTCAAGGTTGACATGCATCGAATGGGCAGAATCGTTGTAATGAAGTAACCCATGCAGTAATCTTAATGATTAAAAAAATATTATTATTTCTAAAAGTTTTAGATTCAAGTGTATTCGAGTAATTACATCTATAGCATATGTATATTATGTCAATAGAATATGTATATTATCAATGATAGCCGATCACACACTGTCAATAATAGCTCGGTTCGAACTTCGAAGCATGTTCAGAAGCGTTGGCTAGAACTTGCAACATTCTCAAAATCTCGGTTCTGTCTTCCACGTAGTATTTGGCCTTGCTACATTTCTACCCAACGGTGCAAGCAAACACATCGGCGACCGGGGAGAGATAGGGGCCGGGCATTGCTCGTATGATGACCTCAAACATGTCCTCGTCCGACCTGTCGTCCCCGATACAAAGAACGAAATCCGGACATTGCTCGTATGATGACCTCAAACATATCCTCGTCCGACCTGTCTTCCCCGATACAAAGAACGAAATCCGGTAGCATTCCCTTTTGTTGCATTGTCGTGAGTAGATGTTCTGCAAAGCAGCCCTTGTTCACGCCCTGCAAAATGAATGAAAACGATATAGAAATCGGGGTACAGGCCCTCTCTTTCGGCTGATAACCCTCATGCGCAGACATGTAGCTATGGCAATTAGCACATATTCTATGCGGTTCGAAAAAGAAATAAAAGTTTCGAGCTATTCTAAGTTTTCATTACCAAAAGCAAAAACATGAATGGAAAAACATAAGATTTGATGCAAAAAAAATCTGCTCAAACTTCTTTACTACAAGTTCTCACTAAGTTATATAAAGAAGAAAGGCTAATGATAGTGATCGGTATCCCATTGAACATGTACTGCTAACCTGAGGTTTAACTTCTACAATGTGCTGGCCACTCTTAACCGAAACTGGCTCATTAGCAAGAACACTTTCGAGGTGATCTAAAAGTTCCTTAGCCTGGCAAAATCCAAAGTCGGGATCAGCGTCTCGGTAATTCCACACAAGAGAGCTCTTTAGTCTTTAGTCTCGATGGCAGAACCATCCGTTGTTGCTGTGTACAATTTCATCAGTCTCGGCAATCTGCTTCCAATCAAAGTCCGGGACCGAGACACAAGTTTCCCAATCTGCATCATGTTTTGACTTGGGGAAAGATAGAATAAAGGGAACAAGTCATCTGTTGGATCATAAACTTGATCCATTATGGGAGCCTTAACCCAAACCCAAACTAAATTGATGTCATTACTTACATCATTTAATTAAAGATGTCATTGCTTACATCATTTAAGTAATGATGGCATTGCTTACATCAATTTAGTTAGGTGAGAGTTAGATATTTGTTGAATTTGTAATGGTTTAAATTAGTTTATTTGTGTGGTGTAGGATTGTTTTTGAGTAGTATAAATATTCCTTCCCATTTTAGTTTTAAGCATCAAGAAAAATTAAGAGCTTCTAAGTGAGTGAAGAAGCAAAGTCTTATAAGAGTGAGTTGTAGTTCTTGTTTTTGAGTGAGAGTGCTCTTGTAATATTTGTTTGAGTTTCAATAAAAGTTGTTTGTGTGAGTGTTTTACTTACAACAAAGTGGTATCAGAGCGAGTTAGAAAGATTGAAGGTCTCGACGAGAGGAATCCGACGCCGCCAGAATTTTCTCAATCTGAGTTCTGACGCACCGCCATGCACCGCCGGAAGACTACTACCAGAAAATCGAGTTGACTCACCGAGTTGGAGCCCTTGACCGAGTTATCCAAGTCCCTCCCAAGGTTTTTTCGACGTTCTGGATTCATTCGTGC